GCTGTACCTGCCAGGCAAAATGGACGTGTCAATCCGATCCGCTGTAGGCCGCAAGTGTCATGTTGGAACAGAGTAAGAAGCGTAAACTTTAGGGTTCTTGAAGTATTTGGTTTAAAATCCGTGCGACGCAATTTACAATTGGACATGGTCCTGTTCCAATGACTCGGACACTTTGCTGTAGAAATCCCAAACCAAGCTATATAGGATGTTTGGATGATGGATGTATTCTATTTACACCCTGCGGGTTGTTCCGCCGGCCTTTTCAGCCAATGGTCCCAAGATGCGGATTACCTTTTGCGTCAAGAGGAAAGACTGCAACAGAGCAGAAAAAGTAACAGCATCATCCAGAACACAGCTGGAGCAACAGAGGAGCCTACATGAAATGACGTGCATTATGATACAATAAGAGAACAGGGAGATGAAATTGGGGGATGCAAAGTATAGCCTGCCAAGCAAGAAGACAAATTATATGACATGTGACACAATGAGCGAAGTAGACCGTGCGAAGCAGCAAGCGTACATAGCACCCCGTCAGACATGATACAAGAGAGTAATGGGGACATGTGTGGCATGGGGATTTCCAAGCAGTCTGAGTCTGCAAAAAACGATAGATACGTGAGTGCAGGTGCAAAACCTGAGAAAAACGCATGCAAAGCAGAAGCGCAATGCATGGACAACGACAAGTGAAGAACGACGATAAGAAGGAAGCGCACACAACCTTGCACTTTAGCTATGATATATGTGAGCTACATACATTCGGGATGTTCCTGGGGGGGGGGGGGGGGGGGGGGGGGGGTCAAGTTAGACGAGGCAAAAACTTGTTCCAGAGACACTTTTCTTATTACATATAGATTCAACATAACTTAAGCTACATACAAGCCACATTGATAAAACACGCCGGCGCACAAGGGCCGGCGGATTATAAGAACTTCCAGTTTTTTGTCCAAACTCTTCGGTTTCCCTTCGGTTTCCAGGTGCGAAGCGGAACGGGACCGACTGGGCAGTTGATGATCTACGTCTTGCAGGTAGAGCCCGTCGGGACGGCGGGGGGCGAGAAACTGCAGCGATGAATCGATGAAGACGGGTTATTCAAGTGGAAACACTTGTTAACTGGTTAACTGAACCAGTTATCCAAGGAAGACTGGTTAACTGGTTATCCTTATATCCGACTGGTTATCCAAGTGAAATCGATTGGTTTCCAGTTGCTGGATCGTGTATTGAGAGGTGCTGGAAGACCTCGACTTGGAAGACCTGCATGCTTGGATGTGCCAACCCTACGCTGAGAAAAATAACATGGTTGCAAGATGTGTAGTAATAGTATAGCTCCTCATGTAGGTCCTCCAGATATTTTTCTCACCAACTTTGGGTTTATACACAGATTCGAAAAAAAAACATATTTGCACCGGGCACGTTTGATTTCAGGATCTCGCGGCAAATGTCGAGATCTTCAACACCTATGGGGAGTTCTCCAATGACAAGCTCTTGCAAGACTATGGTTTCATCCTGGAGAGCTCGTGTGTTTAATGTGCGGCGCCATCAAACGCACGACCAACCGCATGTTTTTGACTCTTAATTAGCAGGACCTTCTTGAGGCGCTTGAGATTGCAGTTGTCGGAGTCACCAAGTTAGTTGTCCTTTTACTATTGGTTGATTAATAGAGGACATAACCTCAAGTTTACAACCAATAGGTACCCATGGTAATCCCAGGCAGATGGTAGCAAACCGACTCCTTTCATATTTCCAAAAGAGCATCATTGGAGTCACCCAAACCAAGGCCTTGGGTGATTTCATCTTGTTCCTCCTGTAGGGCAAGCCTTCATCGGTCGGACCCCGCCACTGATCGCCAATGCGGTTTTCGTTTTGCACCTTTGGAGTGGTTGTATGGTGTGGATAATTAGTATTGAACTGTATCGAAACATATTGAAACCACCTAAAACCGCTGTTATTCAGCCACGGAACACGTGCTAACAAGGGTTCATTCCAAAGGACCGTGCACGGTCCTGAACTCAGTTCTCCGGTTCCATCAGGTTCCAACGGAACACATCGGCCCATCTCTGGCCCCCTGGTGCGTCCCAGGAGCAGAACGCTTTCAACACCGTGACCTTGCCTCGTCGCGGCCTCGCCGGGGCCGCCCAGACGGGGTGAAGGGTCCTTCCGCTAGGCCGCTAGGGATCCAGTCGTACCGAACCTCAGAAGGTACTTGGACCCTCCAAACCTACATAACAGTGCCTCCAATCACCTTCTGAGAAGGTACTTGGATCCCTAGGGATTTCACATCGTTTCACACACTTGGAACACCTGGAGAGTCCACAGCTGGAGCAGTTCAGGAGAGTCCACGATGCGCTTGGCAGCTGCGCTGGGCTGAGAAGCATCAGAAGCAGCTGGAGCTCCTGCAGGACATCAGCTTTGCGCGTGGAGTTGGTGAGAGGCTTTAGTGGAAATTGCGTTGAAGGAATCCAGTTTGACAGAAAACATTATTCAAGATGTTGGTGATGTTTCGTACAGTTGAAGGATGACTCATTGGATCACATTGGTCTCAATGATTATCATCCCCAGTGTATCCCAGTTCTATAAGGAATCAGGATTTCTACATATTGGTCTTTGGACAATTTGGAACCACTGCTCACCTACTTTAGTGGTAACTGGATCCACAGGGATCCTTCCTTCCATGGATGTTTGGTGGAGTTGAACCATCAAAGGCGACACCGAAGAACCATTCAGAACCACCTGTTCCATGCTGTTGTTTTTTGGGGGAATGGCACCTGGAATTGACTTGGGTTCTTGCCTGATTCTCTTGAATTGAAGAGGAACCATCGGTCTCCCCAATTCAGGTTCAGAGCCAATGGCTGTTTAAGCGGTTTAAGAGTGTTTAAGGCATTCAAGTGAACGTCAGTGTGAACGTCATATTTCTCGCAGCTTCTTTGCTGGATTCACTTGCAAATGTGAATTCTGAAAGTTTGCACGCAGTCCGCAACCCTGACTGACACGCTTAGTTGTTTGTTAGTTGCACCTCACTTGATGCCTCTCTGCCAGCTTCACAACCTTTGAGGAGGGCAGCGATGAAGAAATGGAATCTGAAGGCTGGCTTTCCTGCACCTGGGTGGTTCTAGCAGAAAGGGATTTTTGCACAACATCGGTTGATCCCCTTTGAAGATTAAATAAGCTGGATAAGTAGCAAGGTGTTGGTCATTTAAGGTGGTGTAGGATATGCTGTTTGAACAACACAATTTCAACAGTCCTGTGTTGGGATTCATTAAATGAAGGTTCCCTGCAACATGCTCCTGCCGAGGCGTAGAAGCATGTTCACCCGCTTTCCCTACCGCATGTGTGGCACGATGTCACAGCATGTCACCCCCATCATATCATGTCACCATCGTCTATCCATTTCGTATCAACCACTTACCGTCCCTCAAAAGATCCCATCGAAACCGAGAATTGCCGTGGCTGAAGACCATTTTCCGAAGACCAACCCATTGGTGAAATGGGGTTCCGTGTTGTGCAGGGGAGTAAGAGGACGTGCTATGCAGTCAACCAAGTCGGTGGGTGTGGTGCGCCAAAACGCCCCTCGACTATCCTGTTCCCCTGCAACACATCGTGTAGGAATTGAACCGCCGTTAACGCGGAAAAGTTCTGAGAAGATGAGGTCAGGTCACATGATCACATGTGATGTGTATTTTTTGTGTTTACCACATATACTTGAAACCAAGAAAACAAAAAGCTCGTTCCATTTGGTCAAGGATTTGGTTACCATGATTGACTACCAGACTACCACATATGATGTGAATTCATTGTGAACTCCGCAGGTCAACCAGAGCCAGCCAAGGCCAAACCATGAAACACACACATAGCGAAACCAAAAACACGGTGGTTTTGCAGACGACTCCCACGGACATCTCCTTTGGTGATGGATTGTTCGATGGATTTGTTTCGATGATCGGATTGGCGTTGGCGTTGGAAAGTGACCGCGTGCGGCCAATGCATGAGGATGAGGTAGGACATGCGGCACGACAGGACTGACGAAAGTAAGAATGAATTACATAGGCCAAGAGTGAGATGGGCTGCAGATGGGCTGCAGGTAGCGAGGAAGAGCCCGAAGAGGGAGCAGGTGCAGCAGGCAGGCAGGGAGGGATGCTGCAGGTGTTCCGAAGTTCAAGTGGCTGGTCGAAGCCCTTTGTTCAACAAGGGTATCATCCAGTGAGGGTCTCTCGAAGTGTTCTCGTGTTTTTGCGAGTTTGTATCCTTTTGATTTCCTTTGATGATTCCAGCTGCGAAACTACCCCAGTCACTGACATCCCCAGAGATCAGTCAGCCTGTCACGCCTACTAGATGGTCCTCGGGTGAATCAAACAGCATTGCCACATGATACGAGACTTCCCAGGGAGCAGACCAGCCGAACGGGGGCTTCTTCCGGGTGACCAGTTGTTCTTATTGTTCTTCGTGTTTCAATTGTGCTAGTGGAAGAATCATTACTCAACGTGGCCATCTTCGCTTGGCAGAGTCTGAGGATGGCCTACTGTTCATGAACTGCGACTCCTCACCAAGACCGACGCGACCCACGTCGGACCCGGTGGCAGGTCTCGGGTCTCACGGCCTGGTGAGCTTCTTTGAGCTGGGCATCGCCACCAGTGGCGCCGGTCGACCTGCATGGCCTCGGCAGCTGCGAAGGTTCCTGGCAGTGTCTCGGAAGGTGAGGAGGAGGTGCTGCGTGGGTGAGCCGAAATATGTACCGAAAGTGCTGACCTGATGGCTGATTCTTCGGTGAAGTGTGTGGGACGAATTTCATATGGACCTGTTTGGGGTGCAGAGTGCATCACCCAGTTTTGGAATCCATGCCGTGCCCCGTTGGTTGCAGGACTTGCTTCGGTTTGCTTGACCCTGCTTCGGTGGAAGGGGGTTGGAGCCCTGTCAGTGTCGTGAGTCAAAGCATCTTCCACCTAACCATGGAAGGTTGACATCCCCAGGAATCTGTTCCTTTTCGGTGGTCAGCCAGAGTGCCCGGATATTGATCCACAGCCATGTATTTTTTGGTCAGTATTTTGGTTGGGCGGATGGCTGCTTCTCCAAAAAGTCCTGAGGATACTGAAGCGTGGTGTGGTGGAACTTCGACCAGGTTCTTTGTGTTCCGGATTTGCAAGATGCTGTTTGCCACGAAGTGACATGTTGTTCAATCTCAACGCTGACCGCCAGGCATGTTTATTTATGTTTATTTAAGCTTATGTCATTTTACTTCACGCAATCTCCTGGATTTGTGCTGTGAAATAGCACTTTGCAAGGTCTTGGCCACCCCGCGTCGCCAGCTGAAGAAGCTGAGTGCTGCTGGATTGAGGGTGAGGCAGAGAAAGAGGTGTGGACTGAACCTGGGTCGATTGGGGCTGGTAATCGGTGGGTACACCATCTACCAACTAAATGTTTTGGGCTCCCGCAGCTGCGTTTTCACATCAGTTCAGTATTCCTTACAGGGATGTACCCAGAAGGCTTGCTTCGACCAGGTTGGTGCAATGACAGATTTGGTTTTGGTTCTGGTGGCTGAAGTTGGTATTCGGGCTTCTCGCCGACTCGCCCAGCTTTTGGCACCTTGTCATTTGATCGCCTTTGGTTCGGAAAATGGAATCATGTCATACTACTATTTTAGAGCGTTTGATAGAGGAGCAGGGCTGCTCACCGAGACCACTTTTTTTTCCTAGTTGGAGACTCTTTGCAACATGGGGACCTTGTTGGAGGAGACGATCAAAGTGTGCCCAGCTCCTTTGCTGGTGAACTACCATCTCTATGCATGACTAGCAGCTCCTCGGAGCTACAGGGAGTTCCCCAACCCCTAAGATGATGAGGGCACTCGACAACTTTATCCCAGAGAGGTCATTGGAAGTGACCATTCCATTGGGAATCCTTCGTTGAACCAATCGGCCTCGTTGATGCAGTGGATGTTTCGCAAGATGCGAAGCGATGCGAAGAACGTGAGGTTGAAAGGTCGAAAATCACCAAAGTCACTTGTAGAACACCAAAGACCTCCAAGTGACTTTGGCACATCAAGCTTGGAATCACCAAGCAGATCCAATGTTGGGTTTTGTGGAACTGTTCGAGGAACTATATCGAGGTGCTCTTTTACACAAAATGCACAGCCAAAGTAAACTATGGATATCTTCAGTTGTTCTTCAAACTTCTCTAAGAAAACTCCATTTGATCTCCCACAGCTCCACCGTGCCAGCTTTCTCTTGGGCTCGCCGGTCGCCCGCGCGCTGCTGCGCCGTGGGCTGCGCGCGCGCTGGGCCGAGTATCCGGATCCATGCACGGTGGGGCTCACGCTGCGATGGGCGGAGCGACAGAGTTGTGGTAAAGCAATGGAAGTATGATGAAGTACAGTGGGGTCAGAGTAGATGGCACAAATGTCCAAGTTGTGTGGTTGATATATAGAACCCCCATCCAAAGCACATCCAGGAGTGCCAGTGCCATCTACTCTGAAACCTGCAAGTATGGACTCTGCAAGTACCCGGGAACATCTAGGAACGCTGGGGTACAAGTATATCTTATATCTCATCTTTTAGGATCTTTGAGGGTGAAAAGAACAATAATTTTTACTTCATTATATCCCGAAATCCGACTGGATACAGGATCCAGTTTCAACTGGATATCTTATATATCAGTCCCTCAATCCGACTTCCCAGGATTTCCCAGGATCCAGTATGATCCAGTTGAAGGGCCGTTTCGGGATGTGAGGACGTGTGGGGAAGAGGGTGAAGCACTTTGGTCGGTCAGGGTTGGGGGTCCTGTTGATTCCTGAACATGGTCATAGAAAACGCATGTATAGCCCCCATTCATTCTGCTGTTTTGAGTGGGAACGATTTCTTTATGAGATGCTCATGATAGCATGTTTTGATTTCTTGCGGTTGGACATGGTTTGCAGATTCTCCTGTTTGCCTGCCAGGGCTCGTTTGGACGGATGTTGCTGGAAGCAGCTCCTGGACATCCCTGGACAATAGTGAACATCACTTGGATAACAACTAAACTCCCTGGAAGAGTCATGGAAGTGGAAAGTGGCCCCTTTGGATGACCATTTTCCGAATACCAAACAGGGGGTGTTCCATGTATATCCACGATGATTCCAGGGAGTGTCATTACCGCAAACTGGTGGGTGGGGCGAGGCTGAGCAAGATCGTGCACACTGGCGAAGCGCTGGAGAGGGACCTGTGAGAGAGGCCTTGGGCTTGCGACACTCGACATGGAATCCTTTTGGGGTGAGCGATGCTCAGCCAGGGCAAATCCCGCGCACCTTAAGCCAGGCCTTGAAAATTGCAGGTGGTCAGTGATCATGTAATCAATCAGTTGTAGATGTATATATGATAGATGATACGGGTTGACAGTTTAGAGACTGGAAGATGGTTGTTTGTAGAATGTGATCTTTTCATCGCAGATGTGAGCTGTGGTGGTCGGAAGCCGGAGATGTTGGTGAAGATACGGACGGCTAGAGGTCAGGCGGTCAGCCCGCTACAGATCATCCCTTCTTGGTACGAGCCAACCTGAGATGCCTTTGGAATATTTGATCTAATCGGGTCATTGCTACAGCTTGGTCATGCAACAAAGGGTTGAACATGGGCGATGAAGATGGGATTACACATTAGTTAAACACCTCGTCCCTTTGTATCACCTCAAAACCAACCAGAACACATTTCAGATTGACACCGCCAGTAGTCTCATCAACTGCTATTGCTACCAAGTCCTGGATTGAGAGTATGAATCCATGAGCTATCCAGAAAAGTTGAAGGTCTACATTATTGTTTTTTTAAGGCTGGCCAGAAGTGGGGACTGTGAGATGCTGACGGCGTGACCCAATCTTAGAACGTGTGTAGCAGAAACAACCCACATGAACTTGTGATGGTCCTTGAAGAATTCCGCACTGTTCTAAGTTAGAAGTGACCAACCATCTACCCTCCCTGGAACAAACATGGAAGTGGACAACCCCTTGTTTGTAGAGGAAAATTGTTTTCACGGATTCCACAGACCAGACAGTCCATTTCATGATTGTTGGAGAGAGGGTAACCAACACAACACGTTTCAGTTTGTCCAGCTGTCTAGTTCCTTTTGATAAACACCTCGTGGTCACACCGCGTGTGATCGCAAGGCATTGGGGAGAAAGAAATTTTGGCTCCTTGGTCTCAGCACTTGCAGCTGGGAAGGTGGAGTTTTCGTTCAGATAGAAATACTGGCAGGTAGAAATCGCAAGCAAGACCTTCAGTAATTTGCGGTCACGACGACTATAGAGATTTCACTCGGGGTTTACATCCTTTTGATCCCGTCAAGCAAGCCCTTAATAGATGGTTCACAGTTCACTGTGAAGCTTCACCCATGAATTTCCACTGGGCCCCCTTTGAGTGTTGACTGTTAATCGAATCAATAAGACACCCAACCTGCAACCAAACTCCATAATGTAGACTTTGATCAATGAGTCTTTTCAATCCAAATCGGGGGGTTATTAATCAAGATTCTTCATATGAATTGCTTATAATTGCTTTATATTTATATTGATTTCTATTGTATAATTGTCCCTCTCACTTACTAACACGGAAGTGGACACCCATCCGCGGAGGAACATCTTCTTCTTCAGACCGTCCATGTCCGACGTTGGGAGTGTGATGCAAACGGGTCACCCAAACAGGCCCAATGGCCAAATCATGCCTACCCTGGAAGTCAGTGGATGACCTGCGAAGCTAAAAGAAGCTATTGCTGTCCTTACGGCTCTACCGAAAAGTGGATGACCTGCTCAACCCTTTTTGCTATTGGTTTCTACTCACGCTACTCACCGATCGGAGCAGCGAGCGAATCTCCGTTCGGATCTCCGACGGATCGTCGAGTCGGAGCGTCGACGGATCCGGGCCAACTGCTGATGGCTTTGTTTCCCGTTCCGACTCAAAACCAGACCGCACGAACTGTTGCTTCCTACTCGTGGCTGAAATCTGAGGCATACAGCTGGGTACATATCTGGGGCCACGTCCTCCGTGCCGCCGTCCGAGCGCAACGACTGCTCCGCTCCGAGGAGCGTTTCCTCCAAGAGCTCCGCCGCGCGCCCATGAGCCGAACGCGCCGGACGCTGGCGATGGGACGAAGACGACGCGGCGAACCAAAAAGCGGTGAACAGAAGCGAGCGTCGTTGGGGACGTGTCGTTTTGGAGGACACGGAATTACGTGTGTCTCGTTTCAATGGGAAGATTTAATAAGGATGAATGCAATCAGATTGATGATACATACATGGTGCTTCATGATTTGATTGTTTTGTGTTGGTTGGTTATATATAAATTGTATAATTAGATATTTATTATTTTATATTTATATTGATTTTTTTTTAGTAATATATATATATATACATGCCTGAAGCATCCTTTGTAGCACTTATTTCTGGCGAACCATGGTTTGGAGCACTTATTGGAAGTTTGAGCGTTAATTGAGGGTATGTACACTTTTCAGGACATATGAGCGCTTTTTGGTGATGTAAATTCTAAAGCCTACTGGTTCCTGACCAGAGTCCTTATCAACCCTTGTGGGCCTTTGGGGGCCCTATGGACCGGGTGGAAATTCTATATGACCTCCTACTAGTAGTATGTGCAAATGAAACCACAAAGGTTTGGTTCCAACCTTCTGGGCGTGCTTTACAACAATTTGTCCAAAAAGGATGCCCGCAACTTGGGCGCAAATTCCCGCAACCCGGGCGCAATTTTAAAAAGTGGCGGATTGTTATTTTACTTACAGTAAATATGTTATGTTGATTCTGATGATCAAAGAAAGGGGTTGCTGGCTGCCGCTTCGTAGTTTGTGAGCGTGTGTTGTGTGTGTGCATGGGATGGGTGCCAGCATGTGGCAGGGGAATGGACTTGAAGACCACATAAGCAGGAATGAAGCTACATCCGACTTTCCAGTGGTACGCTTTTTCAAGGCATGAACACTTTGTTTGATGATGTGCAGTTTTTTTTCTGTCACTTTTTTCTGCTACGACGGAGGGTTCAGGTGTTAATAAATATATTTATACAATGTAATAATAGTAATAAGCAAGATGGTTGTTGCTAATCTGTGACACCAAAGTCGAGGAGTGATGCTATCTATCCATGTTTATCCCGTTTTTTGTTGAAGTCCTTTTGCGCCATCTCGGCCAGGTGGTTCCTCAGCCAGACATGCAAAAAGATTGTGCCTTGGCCAAGAAAAGACAAAGTCTTCAAGTTCAAGGAAACCCATCAATTGACATTTAGGTTCATATCGTTGAGGGCCATCCACGTACCTTCCTGCATGCAAATATTAGCCAAGTTCCCATCAGAGGAACATGTCCGATATGATTAGTGGGCCTGGTTGGCTGGTTTGAAGAGAACTTACCGCCACAGGCTGGGGTGGTCAATTGGTGTTCATGTTTGTTCATCGGTTGCATCATTGTTTTGTTTGGATATCTACCTGCATTTTCTTCAACAATGAACTTGGTGCCCCTGAGCTCAAGGCACCACTGAAACACTCAAACCGACATGATGTTCTTGCCACCACCCAGGGAAGGAAACAACAGAATCAGTGGCAACACGTTGACCTCTACCAGGGTGGCAAGGGGATGATTTGTGGGTGTTAGGGTCTTCCCCAAAACCAGCCCAACTACTGACTGACCCGAAATAGTTTCTTTTGTAATGCATTCTCCAAAAATCATTGAAAAAGCTTCAGTGATCCTTTGAGTGACTCTTGGAGTGGGCAGTCTTGTTTCTGAATATGAGCCGCCCGCCTCGGCATGGCTCTCCTACGAGGTCGAGATCCACGACGGATGCCTGGTCGCGATGTGGATGCCAGGGCATAGATGGCCATAAAAACGGCCAACCGGTTGGTTGATTCATCGAGGGATCGACCCATCGAACCCAAGAGGAGAAGAATCATAGGCGAAAAACCCATCGCAGTGGTTTCAGAGGAGATGGCCCGAACGTCTAAATTTGGTGTGTGTTTTTAATGGACACCCATCTAAAGGACTTCTTGAGGTTTGCGCCATCTACTCTGAAACCACTGAAATCCTGAAGAATATGTTGGACATTCTCTTATATGGATCTATTGGAGGATCAATATTGGTGTTTCAAGATATCAGAGAATCCGTTGGTTCGCATGTCCTGGACATATCTGGATGTAGAGGAGGAGGTGATGCTTCATGGAGACTTTGTCGGCCAACATCAACAACCCAACACATTATATAGATGTGCTTCACTTCTTAGTGTTGTGTTTTAAAATACCAGGAGAGAATCCTATGTTCATATGTTAGCAGAGTGCCTAGCTTGACAGTAGCTGTTGCAGTGGTAATTATTCTGTGCGTTGGAGATCCGCAACGAGGGGTGGAGTTGCGACACTGCATGGTTCTGCAAGCTTAAAGGTGATTGTATTTCTTACTGCTCGAAGTTGGGATCAGCAACCCAGTCAACATAAGCTTGGATTTGTCGTGACTCCAGCGCTTGGCTTTGCGTAGGCAGTGGTTGTCCGCATTGCACAGTAGGCAGTGGCCGGAAGTGTGATCCCGTTTGGTTGACATCGCTGGATGATAATCACCACATCCATGTGTCATGTCAGTTTGTCAACTCCCTGTCAGGCTGTTTCATGGACCCCTTTGTCAACTCTGTCACATCTTCGGGGTCCACACGATGCCCAGCGGTTGACCACTCTTTGGGGTCCAGGCTGTTGGACACATACACCAATAGATTCGAACAAAGGGGGTGTGAGGGGCACATCGTTCTAGGATAACTACACGTATCGAAACATACCAAAAACCCACCTTCTCAGAGGCTGAGACCACCTTCTCAGTGTGGCCACCTTCTCCACTGTTTGTCGAACTATGTCGAACGCCTCGAGGAAAGGTGACGATCTATGACGTGGACACCTCAGAGGGGTCGACACATGGAATGGCCAAGAACTGGGTCCTGTACCAAAACCGGCTCAGGAAGCCGGAGCAGGGCCTACAGGTCAATAGCTGTATATGTGGTTTCAGAGTAGATGGCACAAACCCAAAGATGTCTTTGATATGGGGTCCTCATAAACCACCTTTTGGGGATTGCGCCATCTACTCTGAAACCACTGTACATGTGTTGGGTTCCTTTTCCTGAACATGTTCCGATGGAGATTTTGTCCTGCAGCGGCCATTCATTGGTCCAAGTGGCGCGCCCGGGCGTGAAAGCAGTGAGTTCATCAGTTTCCAGAATTGGGAAAATCTACAGGAAACCGGGGCTGAAAAGCATGGTTTCCTGTAGATATCCCTTAAACCAATTCTGGGATCAATGTCTTCATGGTGAGCTGAAGAAGTCACACCACAACCCACATAAACCCCTAATCGTTCTTCATGTTTGTTCCGATTGAAGGAACACATCGTATCATGCATTTACCTCCTGGCAGCTACTAGCAGAAGACGGGGCGAATCTGTCTAAGTCTAGCTCTGCTTCGAGCTCATGCCATGCTTCTCTCAGGGGGACTTCCGCTTCTACATGGACAGCAACAACGACATCAGGAGAACGATCGAAGCGTAGGGACCTTGGAAACTCAGGATATGTTTTCGTTTTTGTTTTTGCTTTCATCGGAATGGAAGACTGTGCATGGCGAAGACTCAGAGGTCAATGATTTGCCCAGATGACTTGGAAGGTTGTTGGAGTTATGACTTTGGGATCATTCCGGTTCTGAGTTCATGACAGATTCCGGTTTTGCAACAGCTCTGTTACCTCATATTGTCGTGGGATGGCCTGTGTTGGTCTGAGTTTTTCCGGCCAGCCGTGACTTGCATGGGCCAAGGGCGAGCTTTCGCCGCTGGCCGTGCGTGCGCGCCTATCACGGCGGTAGCGTAATTAAGCTCCAATACATTGTTTGGCGGAGAATGGGTGATGTTTGTTGTTGTTTCCCGGTTCTTGGGTAAATCCATGTAAATCCTCTGGCATGGGAGAATACATGTTGCTTCCGTGATTCCTGGACAGCAAATCCAAGAATGCCTGGTTTGAGGAAACTCATGGACGCATTCCAAGAACCCCTTTTAAGTTGGGCCTCATGGACTCTGCGATTCAAAACAGAGCCTTTGGGCTGGACTCTTGATTCATGAACCCCCTTCGCAATTGGATTGAAAAGCCTTTGCATATTGTTTTTTTTCATTCATGCTGGGACAACAAAGAAAACCGAAGAGCGCCATGCAACCCATGTGCGTTCCGATATCCAGGCACTACACGGGCATTGATGGGCTCATTGAGTCGGTTCCGGCCTCCCTGGAAGAGCGCAGGAAGAAGGCGAGATGTCTTCTTCGTTAGAACACCGATTCTCAGACACTCCATGGGACTAGAACATTTACCTGCATTGACCCCGGGTCAACCACCCCAATGTATGGATTGCCAGTCCCATGGTTGGCATGGAGTGTTTGGGGTGAGCCTTGCGCCCTGGCGGCTCCGAGTCTCAGAAGGCTTCGAAAAAGTGCAAACCCGCAGAGAAGATCCCCTTCCGGGCTGGCCTTAACGTGTTTTCTATTGTTTTTTTTTTTTTTCCGGTGAAGGTGCGTTTTTGATGTGTGGCAGGGGGGGTTGTTCCTACCTTGAGCTCGGATGTTGGCAGCTCTGGGGCGCATCAAGCAAGCCTTCGGAATCGATGGGTTCAGTGTATCTTTCTGTGGAGTGGTGGTGCAGATGACTTAACCATACTTAGCATAGAATTCCAACCACGATGAATTTATGGTGTTCCGAACAACCATTGTTTGACTATGGATTTCACACTATTATAAGACCAAGTCAACCTTTCTTTCAACAGTCTTGCAAGACTAGGGTTAAGGTGATCCATAGCCCAAAGATCGATGGCATGTGACGTAAACCCCATCCTTTTGAATGGCAAAACCTGATCACGTTTCGGAAGAATCATGGGGCCCGTTGGACCTGTGCCTGCCAAAAACCAGTTGTTTGAGACCGCTATGCACCTAATCATATAGCATGGTGGAAGTGGATGGCATGGTCGAGTTCCGATGACCATTTTTTTTTACAAAACAGGTGGTGAACTCCACTCCACAGAACCCATGATGTTCATGACTGGGAGTGTGTTTTGTTTTCATATATTGGTGTGGTTTATGGTGGTTGAAAATTCGTAGAAATTCGTTAGATGCGGACCAATCCCATGAGGATCCATGAAGAAGGTGCAGGAGGCAC